TTTTCTGGACCAGGTGCGGTCGACACCTTAAGAGAACACGTGTTTATACATCTCAGAGGTGATGGGATCAAACGAAGGTTGGATGCTTGGAGAACTGGAATCAACATAACTGGGGTATGTGTCGGGTGAAGAATTAACAAATGCAGCATTCAGTTTTTCAATATCAATAAAGGGACTGAAAGTCACTTTCTTCTGCCTGCAGAGTGAATCTATTCCACGCCACATAGATTTACAGTTCCTCATCCCCAAAAAACTGACTTGCATAAATGGCGTCCAACCCTCTTATTTCAATCTTGATCAGAAAGGACAATCTCAGCCCTCCTGCCACATTTAAATGCACGTTCCTTTTCACGCCGAAGACGTTGAAGAAAAGGTGTCGATATTCTGCGATTTTGAGGGAACAAATTTATTACAGAACAGCATATGTCAAAAATACAGTTCAACACTTCTGTTAGAAATGTCATATTTGACGAGCAGGTAGTTTTTAAAGGAAAATAGTCGGTTACTTCCTTAAGAGACGATCTAAACAAGGCAGTATTGTCCGGGGAAAGATCTCTTTGACGGAAAATGATGTGTTTGGGTCGAATGGGNAACAGGATCAGTTTGTGGTCACTGGTGCCTAAGGGGGAAAACTGTTTGATGGAAAAGGTGCCAGCGTGGTTTGTGATTATGTGATCTAGATGAGAGTTTCCTCTAGTCGGTTCAATAATCAGGTCACTAAGGTTTAGACACAATAAAGGGGGGCAGGGGAACATCGTTAAATTCACCAGCTATTAAGTACAAGCTGTCAGCAAGAGATGGGGCAATAACCGGTAGGAAATTATCATAAAATGTGTCAATGTCTGACAATCTACACTGGGGTGCAATGTATAAATTAGTGATGGCGATATAAGGAAAGCGGGAGAATTTGGGGTGATAGACGACAGTCAAGCAATCAACGCCATTCTGTGGATACTTAAAGACTACTTCGGACTTGCTGCACCAATTGGAATTGATATAAGTAATCACACCGCCTCCCTCCCGCCTGTCTCTTGTACTTCAGACTGAGAACTCAAAAGCTATTGTTGACTAGCTATTGAAGGGGAGAGAAATACATTTAATCCAGATATTGTTTTAATCACCGCATGGCACATATAACCATTGGAGTTCTCTCTTATATATACTTTTGATGATTACTTTTTCAAAACCCTATTGAATCCTCTTTTAACTTTCTCTTTTTTAGTCTTTTACTCCCTTCTACTGAAGCTGTAATAATACACTCTTCAGGCCAATCAAAGGCCTGTCTTCGAAAGATTCGAGGTATATTCATCTTCCGTCCTGATTCTTATTTATACCTTGCCTGGTTAACAACAATACTTGATTTCTGCTTTAGTGTTTCACATTTTGCAAGCATGAATAATTTTGTCCGGATTTGGACTGGCATCAGAAGTTCACTTTAGTGGTTCCGTTGTTTAATAAATTGGTGCTGATTGATTCCGTGTGGTGTAGATTTGCTAGTGATTCGAATTCAAATTTGTATTATGGGAAAAACTTACAAAGACTTCGCTTATCAAATCCCATAGGGTGTTGACACTTTGGGTTCCGAACACGATTCCCAAGATCACAGTTAGTCCATGTACGTGAGTTCAGTTCAGTTCTTATAACCATTAACCATGCATTTACGTAAAAGAGTAATATAATGTTTGTGACAAGCACAGGAAAATACATTATGTAGTTGGGTGTTGAAACATAATATTTGCCAGAGCATCATCAAGCTGACGCTTGAAAGGTACAAATGTTGGCACACAGACCACATGAGTTGGTAGAGAGTTCCATGTGCTGCACACTTTGACTGCAAACGAATGGCTCCTGCGGTCGAGATGGCTCTTTTGGAGTGCCATCTTCAGTGGATGCCACTGAGATGAATATTGGCTGATAGAAACAAAAGAGATCTACATGGATGGTTGGGCTGTTGGTAAATCCGATACAGTAAGATCATATCCCCTCTGATTTAACGATATTGAGACTAGTATAACCACAGTAGCTGTAATCTTTCCCCATAGGTCTTGGAATGTAAACCTTTGACCATTTAGGTAGCCATTATCTGCGGATGTTCAAGTGCCTTCCGATCTCGCTGCAGCCATGGGTTCTAGGCCTGAATTTAGTACTCAATGTATGGACGGATATATGTGGCCAACGGACGAGGAAACAAAGCCATCTCAAACGATCCAAAAACACATTTAAGCAGTTCAACCTGTTTTACCGCCATGGACGGTGCTCTGGAACAGTTTGTGGAGCAACTCAAGTGTGTGCGAATGACTACTTCCAGATCCTTCTCGGATGGAACGTGAGGCAGACTTTCGTGTCCGAGAGTGTAGGAAGACGACCATTGTGACTTAGTGACTAGACTTTGCATTTAGTAACGTTAAATTCAATGTCATTGGAGACAGACCATCTGTGGGCTTCGTCAAGGGCCTCTTGGAGATCAAGTGAATCTTCTGGTTTTGTTACTGTCGTCCATATTTTGGCATCGTCTGAAAACAGCAGAGTTTGTAGTCCGAGGACGTCTGGAAGATCATTTATAAAAGCAAGAAAAAAATGTGGGCCTAGCACAGATCTCTGTGGAACTCCACAGTGTGACATCAGTTGGATCAGAAATTGAATCGAAAACATGAACTAACATGGTACGTAGCCGAAGAAACTCCTCGATCCAGCCAAGCACGAGTCCACGGACTCCATAGTTATGTAGCTTCCGCGTCAGTATTTGATGATTTACCCAAACAAATATCTTAGGGAAGTCCAGGTCAATAGCATCTAAAGCTTTGCCTTGGTCTACAGCATGGGTCCAATCGTCCCGAGCCAAAATCAAGTTAGGTGCACATGACCGATTTTTTCGAAACTCGTGCTGGGCTGGGGATAGTTAGCCATTGTTCTCCAGATGATCCATTACAGAATCTGCAACAATGGATTCCATGACTTTTGACAACACTGGAAGGAGAGTGACGGGTCGGTAGTTGGATGGGTCACTACTGCATCCACGTTTGTAAATTGGTGAAATAACACCGTTTTTCCACAACTGAGGAGGAAGACTATCTTCAAACAAGTTTCGGTATAGTCCACTTAGAGGATCGGCTATGTGACTTGCCAGGGTGATAAGGGCTTGTGAATGTATGTTATCTAGACCCGGTGATGAGTTCGTCTGTAAAGCCAGGAGCTTTGCCTTTATCCTTTCGGGAATATGTTCCCGCAAACGGGGAAGTACGACCCCAGCGTTACTAGGGGCACTGACCACTTGAGAGTACTGTAGTCTGAGCATTTCTGCAGCCTCCTTGGTTGTCGTTGAAACACGTCCTGATAAGTTTAGTATCGGGACTCATGTTTGACTTTCCGAGGAGCCTTCACGTGCTTATATAATAGCTTAGGGTTTGCGATAAATTTTCTCGCCAGCGTATCATGATAAGTGTGCCTGTCTTCCCGCACCAAATTGGTACAATGGTTTCGAAGGAGACGGTAAGGTTCTCAAATGCTGGAGCATGGAAAACGTTTGAAATCCCTCCAGTTAAAGTCCCTTTGCAATATCCATTTCCTTTTTCGACTGCTAATTAATGATTTTCAAACAGTCGGCTGGCATGGACGCTTGACTGTTGTAACAGTAGCCACCAATTTTGTGATACTTTTAGTAAATTTTCTGCAGAATTCCGGGGGTTGCATCCTATATCAGGGGAGATTCACTGGATTCCATGAGTGTTTAGTTTAGTTTTGCATAGTCAGTTATGATGCGAAAGCGATCCGAAGAAACTATTGTTACTGATGCGTAGCCAACATATTCGAACAATAATACAGCGTGATCACTGCGCCTCAACAGAGTTGCGATTGCAATTGATTCGATCATCAATTCTTCATTTATTAGTACTAAATTCAAAGTTTACGAAACTTGCTTGGTTTCAAACCTGGTAGATCCCTTCACATGATTGTGCAATGAATGTAACTGGATGCACTGCATGAATTGTCGTTCAAACAGCGTACATGACGTCGTCATGTTGCTCAGCTGTGGACAGTTAAAGTCACTCATAATTAGAACTTGGGTGAAATTCAATGACAAGAAATACGACATTGTTTGCAACAAAGTATCATTTGATGAATCTGCTCATGAAGGAGGGCGATAAAGAACATCGATCAACCCGATATCATGTTGAGTTAGCTTTAATTTACACCATAACGTATCTAAGCAGCAAACGGGCACTCAATTTGCTCGCATTGCAAGCTGTTATGATAATAGAGCAACAGGCCCCCACCTCGCGTTGCACGATCACGCCTTAATAGCTGCATGCCTGGTAATCGCATCTCCGAGTCTAAAATTTTGGTCGTCAACCAGGTTTCGTTTACGGCATTGAGATTCCATTGTAGTAGTAGTTCCACTTCTGGAAACTTACTGAGAAAATCCTGATCATTGGTGTAGAAACAGTTCAATCGTTGTCGGCGCAGAAATCCCTTGGAGTTTAGGGGTGTCATTTGACCGGTCTCATCGTTGTCGGCTGGCAGACGTTTTTTTACCGTCGGTTTTTGTTGGGTTTGGTCTGATTGGGTCGCAGTGGAGCATGAAGTTTATAGTGTTTCACGCGCAATCTTATTGAGAATTACGACAGGTGGACAATTTTTCGGTCCTGAATTCAGCATTGGTCTTACACGTAACTCTTTAGGCCCTGTGGTTTTGTGTTCCTACCATGACTGCAGAACGATGCTTACCATTTCTGGTACCCCAGGAGTAATTTTCAGTATTTGCCATCTCCGCGATAGTTGGGAGAACGCGGAAGGCATTTAATGGCCGTGGTAGAGACATTGCGGTAGTCTAATAATTCTTAAATGAAGCGCCATTCTTTAAAATCATTTTTTCGATAGATTCATCGGATTCGAAGAGCTGTGGCACTCCGTCTCCCGTGAGTTGTCTGCATCGTGTGTACTCTTAAGATCGTTCTGTCGGTTTGTCCGGTAAAATTCTGGTATTGTTAGACCCATCTGCAACCAGGAAACTAGAAAGAAGAACATTTTCAACGTCTTCTTCACTGGCCAGCGTCACACGAAGTAACCTGGGTTCTCCACTGTGAAATGATGTCGGTTGGCGCCAGAGACGTGCGAGGCTCACCGGTTTGGTTTCTACAGCAATTCGGGCACATACCTATGCCCAGCGATCAAGCTCGTCCTGTTGCCTGTGTCTCAATGATTGACTTGTGGGTTCTGGAAGATTTGTAAAAATTACCGAGAGGGCAGTGTTGCCACCTACTCTCTTGTTCATTTGTGACGGTGTAGGAGCTTGCGAATTACATTTAGGTGGCGGTACCTTGACTATAGGTATAGACGGCCTTGGGTTTGGGCTTTCGAGAGTAATCTGAGGGTCTTTATCTTCTCTTTGGGAGAAGCAATTTGTACTTTCGCCCTGTCCTCGACGGCTGCTAATAGGTTTTCAAATCTATGTGTGATACCTGTTAAACATTTGATAATGGGCAGCTTGGAGCATTCCATACAGAACCAGAACTATCTGTGAGACTAATAGTTTTACCCATTTTGCTGATTGTTTAGCACACAAGGGATGAAAGGAACGTATACAGTTTGCTCATGAGGTCTTGATTTCTTTTCCATAGTTCAGTTCACCACACTCCCGATCCTGTTGTGACCCATGGAGCTGCACTTATTGACGTACTTCGACGATCCATTTCCGATTGGCTGTGAACAACAAGGTTGGATGCGACTGACAAAGATCAAATGTAATCAAAAGTGCTCGTCCGGACCGATCATACGTATGTAGTGATAACTGTCACTGATGCGTAGGACAAAGACACAGGTTAGCTTGTGGATATCGATCTGCTGAACTGGTCGTGCTGGGATGGACGCACGTGTGAGCGATGGTGCAAATGGTAAAAAACTGAATTGCACAAATATATATCCAGCGCAATTAAAATTGGGCTCAGAAAGCTAAATGGACGATATCACAAATTGACACATTGAAGGACCATGAAAAACTTTGACGCGTGAGTATTAGCAAAATATTTGCTACAAATCGCGGAAAAACACAGCGGTATGTATGGTACGGCTTATATCCGAAAGAGATATTTCAAGATAGATCTTACAGAACTGAGTCAAACGAGCGTAAACTCGTCGACGTACGATGAGTTATGGCAGAGTAAATCCACTTAAACCGGGACCGCACAAATTATGCGGCCGCACGTGTAGTGCATACGGTTTAGATGCAGAACTATTCAATGCCTAGAAGAATGTTCAAAGAGCCCGGCCAACTCGAGCCAACATACAATTCGCCTATTTACGAAGATCACTAAAGGTCGTGGGTTTTTGCATGAATTTATAATTAGCGGTTGTCGGTGGTTTGCAATATCTACAGGCGTTTCACCTGTCATTCAGTTTACATATATATTTGCAATACTTTTATTTTTATGAGTAGTGTAACTGTTTAGGTCTTAGTTTCAACGTAAGCAACCGTGGGACTGGATTACTCATGTCCGAACATGCTGCTTCAGATTGTCACAGTTACGATAAAATCTGGCAATTTTCTGAACCTATCAATAAAGATAATTTACACTCTCAGTGGGGAGCATCTTCACTTTAGTCCGGTCTATTACGATGACTTACTCATTTGACTGATTTGAATTGAACTGGCAAGTCAGAAGACAAACACTGCGAGAGGAATTCCCTTCGTATGCTCTCATCGGTCGTGTACGTATAACATCGAACAAGATAGACAAATGAAGTGAATTAAGAATTCTAGTTAGTATTACCCATGTGTGTGGATGTGTGGATGTGATTGGTTACAGCCAGGGAAGGCCAAGGGTAAAGTTCATAAGTTTTTGGATGCACAGTGTGGGTTTGTTGTGAGCGATCGATAACGCCTCGAGTATCCTTAGTCGGTGTTTGTCTCGATGACGTAACAAAACCGAGAAAGCGTAAGGTCTACCCTGTGGCCGCTTTCAACCAAGTGACGTGCGATGGCCGATGTCGGTTTGCGTGATGCGGTCGGAGTGTGTGGTGTGGGCTGACTATGACTCACACAGTCACGCACATACTTGGGGATGTGTTCAGCCATTCTAGTTCGCAGCTGCAACAGAAGACGTAAATGCAATGAAAGGTAGACTCGACTGGGCGACGATCTTTGAATGGGGGGAGGGGAAGGCGCCGTGTGATCGGATGGAGTCTTAGTGCGGCAGCGTAGTAGGTTCTTTGTAACGCGTTTTGGATACGCTGTGTGATAAGCTGCATTGACTCCCCTTTGTATAGCAGCGAGATGTGGATATTGTTTTTTGGCACTCGAAGGGTAATGGCTTGAGTCCGGTTTCCTATCCGACTATCAAAACGAACGAAACATTCTGGATAACTATTTACCCGTAATGCGCTATAGATATTCTCCTGTTCACTTAGTATTGTGTCCTCTGTATATATTTTTCTCGCCCTGTGGAACAATGTTCGAACCAGGGCTCTCTTGTGTTCTATTGGTGAGAAACCGTTGAAGTGAAGGTACTGCCCGGACCAAGTCTTCTTGCGGAAGATAGATCGTTGGATAGAACCGTCACTTTTACGGGTTATTAGGATATCAAGGAAAGCTAACGAGTGTGTCTTCTCCACTTCACAGGTGAATTTCAAGTTGGGGTTTGCTGCGTTGAATTCATCCAACAATACAGCCATATTGTGAGGGTGATTGAAGATAACGAGCACATCATCCACGCATCTTTTGTAGAAAAATGTTCCGTTGATTGCCTCGTTCAGCTGTGCTTCAATCATACCCATGAAAATATCAGCCAGAATATGACCCATCGCCACACCGTCTGTCTGTCGAAATGCGGTACCTTGAAGCTGGAAGCGCACGTTTTCAGTGCACAGTAAAATGAGGGGTTTCAATAGCAACGAAAGTATGTTAAGGTTGATGTTCTCTCGAGTGGTGAGTTCGCAGATGAAGTCTACGGTTTCATGTAAGGGGACATTTGTGAATAATGAGGTAACATCAAAGGAACACATCGTTTCACCAGATAGATTCACACTGGACAACATATCACAAAGATGAAAGGAGTCACGTAATGTGTGATTGCTGAGGCGTTTGTGTACCAGCTGACGGACTTCTACGAGCCACTGGGCTAGTTTGTGGTAGGGTGAATCATGCATGGACAATATGGGCCGTAAAGGGACAGATGGTTTATGTGTCTTTGGTAGCCCGTAAAGAATCGGCGGTTGTTTCATTTGTGGCTCAGTGACCTTACAAAAGCGTTCTCGGTTTTGTTACGTCATCGAGACAAACACCGACTAAGGATACTCGAGGCATTATCGATCGCTCACAACAAACCCACACTGTGCATCCAAAAACTTATGAACTTTACCCTTGGCCTTCCCTGGCTGTAACCAATCACATCCACACATCCACACACATGGGTAATACTAACTAGAATTCTTAATTCACTTCATTTGTCTATCTTGTTCGATGTTATACGTACACGACCGATGAGAGCATACGAAGGGAATTCCTCTCGCAGTGTTTGTCTTCTGACTTGCCTGTGCAAATTCATTACGGGATCCAAATGTTTCAGTTTCCTGATTTTAATTGATTGTTTCCTTCAAGCTCCAGAACTGGAATTGCCTGATACCCACAACCAAATGCTAGATTTTCGGGTTTTGTGGATTCAACCTTTCTACTTTTATTTAAATTTAAATTTAGTTTGGTATAAATGGTCTGTGCTTGTATAGCCCCATCCTACAACTGCCAAGTATTTTTTCCTTGAATATATTCACTCATGCTATGGTCTATCAGAGTAAAGAAAAGTCAACTGATAAATCTATGAATGAAATAATGTTCTCTGTTGTAGGTAACAAGTTTAACTGTTGGAAAGTATTCTTCTCTAAAGAAGCATGAAATAAAGTAATTCTGGTTCACTTCCGAAGATTGTGATTACGCTGTTTTCTGAAAATCAAACACTCCTTTTGACAATCGTCCGACATTCACCAACCTGTGCAAATGAAAAATGGTGACCAGCTTGTTTAAGTTGTTGTTTCTGGAGTAATCAGGTTCGAATTCATAGCCCAATCAAAGTCACCAAACTTTGGTGAAAAGCAACTTCCATTTCTGCTCGATTTTTCATCTATCCTGTTGGAGCTTTGTGTGTGGTTTATCATCACGAGTTCTAAGGTTCCCGGTTTCGATAAATAATCAGAGGCTCCTCTTGACAATTGGGGTTACTCCTTCGTCTGACGAAGGCGTCTTCCATGATTTTGTGAATAATATAATTTAACATTTTAATGTCCGGTCAACGCAAGTATGACGAACTTGAGAACTTATTCTGATCCGGAACAATGACTTGAATGTGTTGGTGGTTTCGTTCATTTGAAACACTAATGAGCAAAAAAAACAATAAAATGGAATATAGAACATAATTTTTGAAGTGTGAATTGATTACAATCTGCGAAACTAAAAGTCAAGTATTTTGGATGGTTTCTTGACAGACGATTTTACAATGGACGTTAAAAGGAAAAAGAATCGATGTTTACTAACTGAGTCTTTCAGATAATTACCCGGAATCACATTTGTGAAGAAACTCCGCATAGTGTGTGCTATGTGGTTGATGACTTGTCAGCTGGTGAGTTAAAGTACGGGTTTGAATAGAATGTTGCAGGGGAACTTTCCCCGCAATCAACCTATTCCTGATCTGTTACTTATCACCGCAACTCGATCGGCTTTAGTCAAGCCCGATGTCATTAGTTTAAGAACTGAATCACAAAATAAGGTCAAGCGAGCAAACGTGCCAGTGAAAATTTGTCACATTTTAGAGAAGGTGCCCAATTTAAGGTGTTCATTTTATCCCGTAACTTCAATAACAATAATCATAATAATAAAAGTAACAATTTGTTTTGTGATCACTTGTACTGTATTAAAAGCTGTTCAGTAATGAAATTAGATTCGCCGTGATCTTCATGTTTGATGATGGAAAGGGTGACCTATTTGTTCAAGCAGTTAGACTACTGAAGCTCTGAAGTCAATGGTCCATTGTCTCCTTTGACTATCTTTTTGTCCAAATTAATTTGACCATTTTGAATGCAATTTGCAAAGTGATGAGTTCACGCGAACTAATGAAGAAGTAATCACATTGGCTGCATTACTGAGATATGGTTTTATACAATTTTTTACATCTTCAGAATCACACCTAGAGAGGAATCAGTGCTTGCCAAGAACATTCAACTCACCATTGAAACAATGTCATCGACACGTTCAAGCGTTTGAGCTAATACCTTCGGCAAGGGGAAGGAGACAAGTATTCAAGGAACGTCATTGTGTTCAGCTTCAGGTTCATTCGAGTTCTCGGTCCTATTTGACTGAACTAACCCTGGTCACAGCCAAATACCGTCTATGGCTTACTAATATTGACTGAACTAAAAAAATTCCCTCCTCACCTTTTATTGCTGTTACCTAACAGTCTTGGATAAAATTGCCAGATTTTTATCGGCCCCTAAGAATTGTAATGATAACTTTTTAACCTGGTTCGCCCAGACAGCGATACCCTAGCGGAAATGCAGTTAATCACATGTATCAATGATTTACTGCTGAACGAGAAAACAATCCATGTATGCATGATACAGATGTACATTTACGATTGGTATGCGTAAACTGGCGTGTTCGAATGTTATTTTTAACCAAACTGGTTGTTTATTCAACAAATCGGAATTA